GGGAGCGAATCTAGTGCAATGATGTAACCCTGAAACAAGGGCGCCCAGTGCTCACCCCAGCCCTCCTCCTGGGCCGGAGTCCGAGTTGGGATGAGCGTGGACTGTGGCCTCTGTGCTTGTGGTCATGATCTCATTTGGGGGGCAGTGCTTGCTCACAGGCTTAGGGGGGATACACTTTAGACCCCACTTAACCGGAGGACGTGACTTCATCCCCTAGCCTAGGTTTTCCCTGGGGGTATGGCCACCTGAAGGATGAGACCCCACCTCCATCAAGGCCATCCCCTGGCATGTAAAAGCCATCTCAAGCACAGAAGAGAAGGCCGAGGACCATGGGAAGATGTTCTAAGGCCGCCGAGACCAGATGGGCCAGAGACTGTGGCACAGAGGCTCAGAGAGGCAGTGCCGAGGCTACGGGTACCTTCTTCTCCTCTGCCCTGAGACCGTGGGACAGTGAGTTGGAGTGACAGGCGGGGTTCCTGGCCCATAGAAGCAGAAGCCAAGGGACCACATGGCTGAGAGGCAGCCAGCCGGGGCTGCTGGCTGAGAAGTGTGGCTATGGGGCAATGCCTCTATCGCACTGTTTACTGATCCCGACTGTGGTAACTTATTGTTCATTGGGCGTATCGTCTGAGTTCCGTGTGGGCTGCTGCAAAGATACCTTGAACCCAGCTTAGTTGTCGAGTGGTGTGGGAGGGACAGTCAGGGTCAGAACAGGTGAAGAAGGAAGGACCGTGGACACACGTCTGGCCCATGCCTTGTGGCAATAGGGGAGCCAGAGGAGGTCAGACATGACCGCCCCATGTCACTTACTGCATACACCTTTCCTGACTTCAAACCACAGCATCCCCATCTTCTTTAGAAGGAGTGGCTGTTGGCCTGTTTACAGGGCCCCCACGAGCATCATTAAGTGGTCTGGAAGTCCCATTCCTCCCAATTCTGCCTGCAATTTGTTATGATCCACACAATTCAAGGCTTTTGGCTAGTCAATGAAATACAGGTAAACATTTATCTGGTATTCTCTGCTTTCAGCCAAGAGCCAATCACATTAGCAATGACGCCCCTTGTTCTACATCCTCTTCTGAACACAGCTTGGACTTCCAGAAGTTCCCTGCCAATGTACCGCACCACCCAGTGTTGAACCATCGTCAGCAAATTTCACTTGCGTGGGATATTGATACAGTTTGATAATGTCATATTCTGTTGGATCACTTTTCTTTGGAATGGGCCTTGTTGTGAATTTCTTCTGGTGGCATCGATCAGCGGTTCTCAACCTGTGGGTCGCGACCCCTTTAGGGGTTGAATGATGACTCTTTCACAGGGGTCACCTGATTCATCACAGTAGCACAATTACAGTGATGAAGTAGCAACGAACATAATTTGATGGTTTGGGGGGTGGGTCACCACAACATGATGAACTGTGTGAAAGGGTCGAGGCATTAGGAAGGTTGAGAACCACTGGCTTAGATGAACGAGCATCTCGGGTGCGGCATGATGAGACATTCTCATCGGTTCCCTCGGTTCCCGGGTCTTTGTTTTCCAGCCAGGCCTTCGGTGCGGCTCTGGCACTCTTCCTTGAAGGCCATCGGTTCTAGAGCACATGCTACCTCTTGCAATGGCTGCTTAGTTCCCTTTGACTCTTTGTAGTCTGTCTCCGTTTCAGGCTTCCTGCTTTTTCACCATTTTCTGCACAGAACATTATTTCAATTCAAGGCTTGGGTTTTCCCTCCAGTTCCTTTAGCTTGAGCAACACCACACTTTTGGTTTTCTATGTCTTTGCATATTTCAGTATAATACTTGGTCTTCTCTAGCTGCCCTTTGAAATTCCTGTTTGCCTTAGACATCATTTCTTCCATTCAGTACCGCTCCTCTAACTTCCAGAAGAAAGGAAAGATGTACTGCTTTCTCTTTCCAAATGTGTGAACCTGTTGAACTGTATCCGCCGTCCCTTATGGGGGGACAGGGGACCCCAAGGTAAGAGCCCTGTTGCCGAGGTGCTAAATCTCGTGGTATGTACTGTATTGCCTCCGACAGTCTCTTCTGTGTGGAAGAGAAGCCTCACGCTTGTCTCTGTGGGCAAACACACCCCAGGTTCCGTCTGCTCAGCAGGCTTAGCCTCGCTTTCGCTCCTGTCTAGTTCTCGGGACCAATGGGGGTCTCCGTGTTCTGGGTGAAGTGTGCTGAGCGGCCGACTCCGAGTCCACCCGACAGCCCTTTCTGTGACTTCCAGGGAGGAGGGGGGGGGCGGCGTGCTGACTTCTGTTACTAGCAGCTCAGCTGGCACCACGGGCCAGTGCTGTGTTTATGACGAAGGATGGTCTATGGGCTGCTTCTTTTCTGCAGTGTAGTTTGCTTAAAAAAAAAAAATTCTTTTGTTGTTCATTTGAAAAAAGAAAAATACCCATCAAATGCTTCTTTTCCTGGTCATGGTTTGTCATCTGGCAGTTGGCTGATTCTGTCCAGCTGTCTGTATGCTCAGCTCAACGGATGGCTGCCCCGTCCTGTGCCGTCGCCACGTTCACCGGTCGTTGTCCATAGTTGTAGCCGTCTTTCCAGTCCCTCTCGTGGAAGGGGTTCCCCATCTGTCAACCACTGATGACATCGGTTCTGCAGGCTGGAGCCACCAGGCTGCTTCCTGATGGCATGGGGAGCAGAGAGAGGAATTGGCCTGTGGTTTTCAAAACTAAAAGTGGCTCATTGGAAGGACGGGCTGCTCCAGGCTATCGCGGTCCGAGAGAGGAATGCAGAGGGCAGGGACCAAGGCGCAGGAGTGGGTTACGTGGAACCGGAGCTCTGCTGGAGCAATGACTTCAGTGCTTGGCCGCGAGCCCACTCTGCAGCCCCATGGGGAAAAGGCCTGGTGATCTGCTCCCCCAAAGAGGCCAGCCTGGGAAACACCCACTTTCCCATCATGGAAGGTCACTGCGAGCTGCCATCAATCCACTGGACCGCACACAGTGACAGTGGCCCTGGGGAGGTGTCCGGTGTCCCTCCCGGGGCCTGGAGGTAATCCTGGGGAGGACTCTAGTGGAGTGGGAGCCCTTGGTGGGGGTGGGGGGCATGGAGTTTCCATCTCTTCTTTGACTGGAACTTCTTCCCTTTGAGCTGTGCTACACAGCGGGTTTCTTGGTTAAGAAATACAGATGCATTTGAAGAAAAACGCCTACTGCTTCAAAAAGGCATGCTACCGAAACTCAATACCACCCACCCTGCAAGAGCAGGGACCGTGTCAGGTGGGAACCTGCCTGAGAATAGACTGCCACCGAGTCCCCTCTGACTCGTCACGATCCTATAGGACAGAGAAGAACTGCCCTTGTGGGTTTCTGAGCTGCAAACCTGTCCAGGAATAGGAAGCGGGCAGTGGTTTCCGACTACCGACCCTGTGGCTCGCAGCCCGACGTGCCACCACTGCACCTCCAGGGCTTCTTGCCAGAGGAGGGCAACCCAAATATTTTCCACTGAACGAAGAGACGGCAAAGCAGTACATCTGCACCGTATCAGAGGGAGAAACCGTGAGACCCCAGATGAACCAGGCTGTCCCATTGGGCTCCCACTCTGCCCACAGGTAAAATAGGCCAGCCTGAAATGGCCACCACACCGTTAACCTTCAAAGAGGAAAAGGAAAGTTTATATAGAACTTAAAACTTCTTAACGGGTAAGACCAATTTATGAAACATTATGATGGCGAAAGAAGGAATGAACTTCACAGGCTACAAACAGCCTTTGAATTGTGGTACAAGCACAGTCGAGATGGCTAGACTTCGTCTTCGACTTTGGAAGATGTTGTCAGGAGAGACCAGTCCCTGGAGAAGGGCACCATGCTTGGTCAAGTGGAGGGCGATGAAAAAGAGGAAGACCCTCAATGGGATGGATGGACACAGTGGCTACAACTAGAGGCCCAGGCAAAGGAACAGTGGTGCGGAGGGTGCAGGGCTGGGCGGTGCTTCATTCGGTTGTGCATATGCTCACACTGGATCACAACCAACTCGATGGCACCTATCAGCAACCTCCACCTCCACACAATCCCTGTTCACAGCCGAATGGTGCTTTCAAGTTTCTAGTTTGCACCCACAGCAATATTTTGGAATTCTCTCTACGAGTTGGGGAGCAAGGCAAATCAGATGTTGGGTCAGCACTTGGTGCTTGTCCTTATCTGTCGGAAACAGGGTTTCACCAAGGAGCCAGCTTATATGCCAAATAGCTTGTGTTGGCTTAAACATCATCCCCTCCTGCCCCCCTCAGGAAAGTCGGATTCCTATCAAAGCATCTTAGGAAATTAAAAAACCACTTACTTTGCAGACAACCAAATGCCCTAATAAGGAAGCCGGGTGGCCTGGTGGCATAGGCATCAGATTGCTAACCGGAAGGTTGGCAGTTCAAACCCACCAGCTGCTCAATGGGACAAAGAGGAGGCTGTCTGCCTCTGTAAGGATTTACAGCCTTGGAAATCCTATAGAGCAGTGGTTCTCAACGTTCCTAATACTGCGATCCTTGAATACAGTTCCTCATGTGGTGGTGGTGACCCCCCCAACCATAAAATTATTTTCGTTGCTACTTCATAACTGTAATTTTGCTACTGTTATGAATCAGGCAACTCCTGTGAAAGGGTCATTCGACCCCCAAAGGGGTCACGACTCACAGGTTAAAAACCGCTGCTATAGAGGTTATTATGAGTTGGGCCTGGCTTGCTGGCAGGGGGTTGGGGAATGGGATAATATCCCCTGAATTCCATGATCATGTCTTCAAAATCCACCCTGCTGGCTGACATTACGTCACGGAGCTGTGGTGCCCCAGGTGAGCCGTGGCTGTCCGTGGACTGGCAGTAATGCCAGGATGTAGTCATTCTCGGTTGTGCGCTTTGATGTTGGCCTCCTGTTTTTGCGCGATGTCAGTTTTCCACCTAAGGACCTAGCCTTTCCCAGGGAACATGCAGATAAGAGCTGCATACACTGACGGTCCCCTCCGGCCATCTCCACACACAGCGTGAAGTCGACAGAGCCCAGTGCAGATCGTCAACGCTTTATTTCAAATTACAGAACACTTAAAAAATAAATGCTATAATACTCTTGTTTTGCTGGGAAACGTGGAGAAAGTTGCTGGCGGTCCTCAAGGGCTGGGAGGCATGAAGCTGTGGCAGGAGGGCAGGGCGGGGGGCAGCGGCTGGTGCACAGGCCGTCCTATTCCACGCGCCGGCTTCTCCTCTTGTGGTGGCTCTCTATGGCCCTGCGGAGCGCCTCGTCCTGGACCAGGTCTGACATCCTCACGTCCGTGTGGCTGCAGCCGATCTTAGGGCAACTGCGAGGAAGGAAGACACAGCAGGTCAGCCAGCTGGATGGCAACACAGCAGGCTGAGTGTTTACGCGGGGAGGGGTGCATGGAGAGGTGGTCTGGGGGCACAAAGGTTAAGTGCTCCACCTCGGACGGAAAGGTTGGCAGCCGGAAGCCTCCCTGGTGGAGAAGCCCCGGAGGCCTGCTCCCATACAATCGACAGCCCAGGAGTGCCAGGGGGGCAGTTCCATGCTACCGCCCAGGGGTCCCGAAGAGTAAAAAATGCATTTGAAGGCACCTAATCCATCATGCTTACGTGGTGGGCATTCCATACCCCCGTCGACCCACAGTAGAAAGATGAGCCTTTCTGCTCCCATACAGCATCACAGTCGTGGACACCCCACAGGGATAGTTCTTCCCATGAGTCTAATGAAGTGCTTCTTTTTCAATGTGATTGGAGTGAAAGTTGACAGGCTGATGGGTTTCCACTGGACAACTCAGGCCATTCTGTTTCCCCACACAGGTTGCAGTCCCCTTGACGCAACAGCCCTGTCCCCCTCTTCCTCCCCGTTCCCTACACCCTCCTTTCCTGCCTCTGAGCTGGCTTTGACTCCAGGCCAATGCTGCCCAGGCTGAGGCTGAGTGGAGTGAGGGCGCTACCTCCCTGGACCTGCCTGTGGGGCTGAAGGTTGAGCCAGGTGGGGCGAGTTCTGTGCCAGGCCCGAAGGGTGATTCAGGGCCACAGTCAGGGGGCTGAAAAGGTGGATGTCTTACTTCACTGGCCCTCAAGTCCTGACTTGAGCCAGGGGCTGGGGACACAACCAACTGTCCTCTGAGAGACCAGCTGGATCCGGGCTGCACCCGGCATTGTCCCAGGGTGCTATGAAGACATGGGGAGAGAAGGGGCGAGCTATGAAATGAGTCCAGGGGGAGACTTTTCTAATGTGCGTGCATGTGGGGTCGGGGCAGAGATGGTGGCTCTTCCATGCTTGAGCAGAGGCCTGAGGGGTGGGGAGGAGCGAGGTGGTGTGTGTGGCCCAGGCTGGGAGCCCCTGGGTGTTTAATGGGCTTGGCCACTGACCAGGAAGGAGCTGGTCTGAGCCCCTCAGAAGAAAGGCCTGCTGATGTACAAGGTCACTGTGGTTCAGGGCTGACCTGATAGCACCTAAAAACTAACCCACCACCCCCACCACCACCAGGGCTTCCTGGAGGTGAGGCTGATGGAGGAGCAAGGGAGGACCCTGCTTCTCAGCACACAGCAAATAAACAAGCGGCCATTTCCCCACGGAACACACGAGAAGGGGCCTCAATGGCACGACACTGAGTCCCAGCCTGTGGAGAAACAGCGCTCTGATTAGACGTCGGTGCACCAATCCCCACAGCCCCCAGGTGAGCAGGTGAGGTGCGGCAACCTCCACTCCGGGCAAGACTCAGTCCTGCAGGCCTTGGGGAAGAGGCCGGTCTAGAAGCCAGGTCACGGGCAGGACAGAGCGTTCTGCTGCGGCTGGGGCCAGCTCGGCACAGGCACTCTAGATCTCATGGGCCCCAGAGGCTTTGGGGAACCAGGGCCCCATCGGCATCAGCTCAAAAGGGCAAGATTCTGAGTCTTATGAGCTCCTGAATCTGGGTCCCAAGGATTCCCAAGGACCAATCCACAAGCTCTGGAAAGGTTGATGGACAGACCTCAGGCAAGCTGAGTGGGATGGACTCTCATCCTACCTACTGCAGAGAGCGACCTGTGCGACACCCTCGGAGTCTCAAGTGATGGGACTCTCTAGGCAGCAAGGGATGGATCCTGGTGGCGGCGTGTTTACGGCGTTGGGCTGTGGAACTCGCAAGGCCCGTAGTTCTAAACTGCCAACTGCTCAGCAGGAGAAAGCTGGGGCTTTCTACTCCTGTAAACAGCCCCAGTCCCAGAATCTCACAGGGGCGTTCTACCCTGCCATAGAGGGTCTCCATGAGTTAGCATGGCGCCGATGGCAGTGAGAGGCAGGGAACTACACCCCAAAAGCACCTACCGCCTCCACCTTACGGTCCCCAAGGCAATTGCTTTAGCGCTTGGTAGTCCAAGCCTCTCTAGGGACGCCCCACCACTTCCTCAACCTCAAAGTCTGGGAACCATCGCTAGTAAACCTCCGTATTCACCCAGATGAAGAAACTGAGGCTCCGGGAGTCTCTCTGGCTCAGAGACGGGGTGCTCCTGTTCCACAGTTATAGGTGTCAGTTATGGGGGTCAGTCCACGGGCTCGGTACAGGCTGAGCCTGCCCCTCAGCACACAGGGACAGAAAAGGCTGCCGCACAGTGGGTGTGTGCTCTCCGAGGGAAAGCGCGGGTCAGCTTCCTTGGGAAGACAGTCAACAGCTTTGTGGAGAGCTGTCTCAGGCCCCATCGTGAGGCCTGCGCTCAGCGAGGGCAGGAATCCCGCACTTTCATTTGGACCCCAGCCAGGGCAGCAGGGGCCGCTGGGGCCCGAAGCAGGCACAGTCAGTCACCCCGTGCCCAGTAACACTATGTCCTCGACTCCAGGCTGACACACAGCACTGGAACAATCCAGGAGGAAGGACTGAGATTCTCAGATGAGATGTGTCACAGGCATTTTTAAACAAAGGGAATCCAGAACAGCTAGTCACCCTAACATGCATCATGGGAAAGAACACTGCTTGGGCTTACTCAGGAGTCTCTGGGGGAGCAGTTCTGAAGCGCATTTGAAGAAGCCCTTAACGAACCTCTCTCCCAATGCCCCTCGGGTCAGGACCCTGCCCACCACACCCTGTGCTCACCCCTACACTCCACTCTTCTTTGTCTCCCCCCTCCTCCGAGTCTCAGACTGCTTCCCTGGGGGTTTCCTCCTGGGGCCCCTCTGTAATCTGTAATTAAGCTGCTTCTGGGGATTCCATTGCAGGCCTTGGTGACGTGTCCCCAGGGGCAGGGCCCCAGGGCCTGGCTGAGCTCAGAGTCAGTAGGCAGCGGTGGGGATAGGGGAGGCGGGGCAATCCCGGCCATACTTGTGCCTGTGACGGCAGGTGAGTGGGCTTGACCCCTCTGCAGGGATCACCTCAAAGTCCACATCTCTGGTGAGGGTTCAAAACCCCACGCTTTGTCTCCTGGCCATGCCCAGATGGTGGTCTTGCTGGGACGATGTCATGCTTCGCGTGAGCCAGACCAAGTAAGCCCCTTAGAGTCCTTCCTGCACGTCTGCTCGCTGATGGCTGTCTCTCAGCCACACGCAGGGACAGTCCAGTCACACGCAGGTCCTCCTCCTCCCCACACAGGCTCCGGTGCCTCCACAGCCACGCCACATGCCTCCTCAGCCTCAGATTCCCATTGCTGTCCAGGCCATCATTACTGACCACCGAACCTACTGCGGAAGCACCTGTATTTCTACAACCAAGTCTCTACTGCGGAAACATCCAAATTGACCTTTTTAGCCCTCTCCTCACAGCACTGTCAAGAGGGAGCAATTGCCTCAAGTCCAGGTGGATTCCCCTGGTCCCCTCAAAGCCCTGCCAGGTTCTCCCTCATCTATAGAACACCGGTGATGTCGATGACGGTGGTGGAACATACCAGTACTGCTGGGCACCATGCATGCTTTACCCAGGCTATATTCAAACTTCAATCACACCAATGAGACAGGTGGATTATCAACGGATGGGGGACACCAATGAAATCCAAACGACTCCCCACCCATGGCACTCAGGGGCCCCTAGAGGGAATTGTGCAGGAGCCCTGATAGCACCGTGGTTTAAGCGTTGGGCTGCTAACCATAAGGCGGGCAGTTCAAACCCACTAGCTGCTCCGTGGGAGAGAGAGAAACTGTCTGCTCCCATAAAGAAATCCTCGGGGGCAGTGCTACTCCGCCTTCCAGGGCCACTATGAGTCAGAGGTGACCAGGCCTTGTAGAAATGCTGCTTTTTCTGAAATCCAAATCGTTTTTCCCATTGGGCTAAGAATTCCTCTAATTCAGCTCAGGGAACCAGCCGAGTTCCAGACTGAACGCAGCATGAGAAGTAGCAGCAAAAAGACAACGAAAACCAAACTCCTTTAGATGAAAAATCTCCACCGTGCACCCAAATGGCATGCACGACCGAAAAAGGCCAAGTGTCCTAGAACGTCAGCGCACGTCACCAAGAAGACACATCGAGTTGGGACGCCTGCTCTGAGAGTAGCTCTCCTGCCACTCCTTCCTGGACAAGTGGGGAGCAACGTGTGTGGGCTCAGGGCTGGCCCCGTCAATCCTGACTCTAGAAAAACAGACACTGGAAGAACGAGGCACAGTTGAACAGGACTCTGGGAAACCTGTCTTAGCCATTATAGTCAGAGGTTCAAGTTTTGATGAGAAGGGAACGAAAACAGAACAAATGTAGTAGAGAAGAAGACGGCTTCGATATTCAGAAACTAAGCATGATATACTCTCAGGGCCATGTTGTCAGGGGAGACCAGTCGTGGAGAAGGGCATCGTGCTGGGTCAAGGAGAGGGGCAGCGAAAAGAGGAAGACCCTGGATGAGATGGACTGACACCGTGGCTGCAGCCGTGGACTCGCGCGCATACAACAGTCGTGAGGAGGATGCAGGACCGGGCAGTACTTCACTCTGCTGTGCAGAAGGTCGCTGCGGGTCGGAACCGACCCAATGGTGCCCAACAACAGCAGCAGCAGCAGCAGGGGGAAGATGGCCTCACAGCCACGAGTCAGAACCATCACCTGGCAGCGGGTTTACAATGGCATGCTCGCGAGTGAAGAGTAACATCTCAACTCCATGTAGGTACAAATGTACTCAGACAACAGTCTCAGTTTTGCAACTATTAGGTCCTTCTTCCAGAATAAATACTGCCACCGACCTACTTAATGACCATCAAGATATCTAGGGTCTCAAACAGCCTATCTCTAGGGCCACACTTCAATGAGGAGTGGTGGGAATTCCAGCCCCAGGGTCTGGACCAGCAACTTGTGGGTGATGGAGAAGCAAACTTCACATCAAAGGGACCGTTATCAGGAGCATACTGAACACTGGTCACACCTGCAATTCCATTCCTGTGACAAATCTGTGATAAGAACGTAAGAAATGCAAACCGAGTCAGGTAGTCAGCTCAGCCAACTCAGGATTCTATGTGTGACATGACAGGCAGCGGTTCTCAACCTGTGGGTCATGCCCCCTTTGGTGGTCGAATGGCTCTTTCACTAAGGTTGCCCGATTCACAACTGTAGCAAAATTACAGTTATGAAGTAGCAGCGAAAATAATTTTATGGTGGGGGGGGGGCAGGTCACCACAACATGAGGAACTGTATGAAAGGGCCACGGCTTTAGGAAGGTTGAGAACCAGTGGCTTACAGGAAACATACTCTGTACTTGTGAGTGTGTGTATAACATATATGTGTGTATACCAAAAACCAAATGAAATGCACTGCCACTGAGTCAATGCTGACTCATAGCCACCCTATAGGACAGGGTAGACCTGCCCTTGTGAGTTCCCGAGACTGTAACTCTTTACAGGAGCTGAAAGCCCCTCTAGGAGTGATTGGTGGTTTCAAACTGTTGACGTGAGGTTAACAGCACAATGCGTAACACATACACACACACACAACTTTAAAAAGTACATGGAAAATGGAACTAAAAAACAATGAAAAATTTCCATGAATTTTCTTGAGCCCCCATGTATGTGTGCGTACACCCACACATATACATAATGCACACACACACACACACACAAACACACACAGGGCTCTAAAAGTTCATAGACATTTGTCATTGTCTTTCAATTCCATGTTCCATGCACTTTTAAACAACCTGTGGGGTGGGTGTGTGTATAAAAGAAAAATGCCCCAAACATATCCAGTTTTAGAGAAATCGCCTCTCATTAATTTTCCATGAATTGATTTAACCTGCGGGGAGGTTACTGAAGTAGTGGAAGTTACGGTGTTGGCAAGGAACACTGAGTGGACCACGGACTGCGCTGCCTTCGCAGGAGCTCAGCTACAATGCTCTTGAGAAGCGAAGACGGGACGGTGGGCTCGGTCTTCCATATGTGGGGCCAGCCCATGGAGAGAGACATCACCCTTGGTAAAGCAGAGGGGCAGTGAAAAAGAGGAAGGGATGGATTGGCACTGTGGCTGTGGCAATGGGCTCAAACGAAGCACCACTTGTGAGGATGGTGCAGACAGGGCAGGATTTGGCTCGGATGTGCACGGGGGCGCTATGAACCATGGCATTCTTAACAGCCCCTAACAACCACCACCTTACAGGTGTGAACACTTTCCCTTATAAATCTTGACCCTCCAGACCAGTGGTTCTCAACCTTCCTCATGCTGCGACCCTTTCAGAAGTTCCTCATGTTGTGGTGATCCCCCAACCATAAAATTGTTTTCACTGCTACTTAAAAACTGTGATTTTGCTACTGTTATGAATCGGGCGACCCCTGTGAAAGGGTCGTTTGACTCCCAAAGGGGTCAGGACCCCCAGGTTGAGCACCGCGGCTCCAGACCCTCGTGGTCGTGGTGGAGTCTGAACCTGTGGACTTAATGATATCTACACCACACATATTGTGTCTTGTAGGTGTGGGAATGGGGTGGGGGGAGCTTCAAAAAGTTTTGGGGGAAAAAACCCAAATTCTCTTTTGAAGCCAGTGTTCCACGAATGATTGAAGCCCTCTCCTACATGGAAAGCGGGGGAGGAAGAAAGATCCTGAAATCCCTGTTCTTCTTTCTGCTCCTCAGACTATTTCTCAGTAGGCATGTACTCATGAGGATTCCTGCTAGCTAGTGATGGAGGCTCAGCCCGCCTCTTTTTTTCCCCGTATTAGAAAGTGGTGAAACAGATGGCTTCTTCCTGGACAGATTACTAATTCTTTCCTCATATTGTTTCGACAGAAAGTCCATTTCCATGCTTATGCCATTCAGGAGGTGAATGTGACTTAGGGGAGACGCCTGAGTGCTCTTTCCTCTGGCAGTAACTCACCCCTCCTGGCACCCGCCCCCACTAGGGTAGCCCCCCCCATAGGAGGTCCCCCCCAGGGTAGCCCCATCCCCCCCCACCCACCAGGCCTTCTTGTTCCTCCGGTGCTTGGACTCCACGATGCGGACAATGGCCTCCTCTTCATAGGTGTGGCCGCAGACTTTGTTTCTCACCGGCTTCTTCATCTCCAACTGTGATTAAGGAGAGATTAGGCTTTCAGGAAGGATAATGATCAACTTCCAGTCATTTCCCCAAGCCACTCCTTTTCTGGAGCATCCCCCGCCTACTCCCGGGCTTTCCAGGTTTCGCTCGCCACTCCCACGGCTTGAGACCACTGAGAGGGCAGGGGACCCTTAGGGAAACCAGCCACGTCCACATCCCTTGGCCTGTGGGCACCTGGTGGACTAAGACGTTTCTAGCCCACGAATCTTCCATGGACACTCATCAGCCCTCCTTACTTCCAAACCGAGATCAAATCAAAAGCCCATGGGAAGGCTTTTGCTTCTAGGAAGTGATCCCTTTCTACCCCATGGCACCCCCCCAGAACGCCCCCCACCCCACCCCCGCCTCCAGGAAGGAGGAGGAAGTGGTACCTGTGTGATAGGGCAGATGAAGTTGGTCAGGCTTTGGGTGACAATCATATCTTCGTCAACTCCTTCTGTCCCGTCCACCTCTCTGTCTGCTTGAAGGCCATCTAGAGGGAAAAAGGAAAGGGAAGTCGTTAAGCCCCTCTGATCCAAAGTGACCCCAAAGACGGAAAGGAATACTCTGAAGGGAGAGCAGCGGTTTCCCAGGGCGGAACCCTAGCTGCTCTGCGGGAGAAAGGTGTGGCAGTCTGCACAGCCCAGGAGGCCTAGAGCAGCCCCGCTCTATCCCGCATGATGGCACGTGGGTGGATATGGATTCTTCTCATGCTCAAGGTACCCCGAGGGCTACACATGGGTCTCCCCAGTTCCGATAAGGAAGCTGAGGCTTAGGGGAATAAAAGAACAATGTCAAAGTTATCGAGAATTGGGTCTCAGGGACGTCCTAAAGCCAGTACGCATGTGTGACTTTGCCCAAAGTGAGAGGCTTTGGGAATCTCGCTCACTTCCAGTGGTATGATCCTGGGCTGGCAAGGCGGCCCCCTTTGAAGTCTCCTGGATAGCTCTGTTGTACAGCTGAGGAGAGAGGAAGAGGGTACAAGCTCAGCACAGGGCTATAAGGACTGTTAGGTAGTCCAGGAGTTCTTAGACCTTCTGCTCTGAGAAGCCTCTTCCTCGTTTAGATACTAGTAAGGACCCAGCTTATCTTATTGTATGTGTTGCTGTGGAGCTGGCAGCTGTAGCCCTGGCCTTTCACATGCCAGCAGGATCACCCGTTGTGTATGGGTTTCATGGGGCTTCCAGACTGACTAGGCAGAAGGAGCTGGTGGTCTCTGATACCTTATGAGTATCTGTTTGATAGAGTTTGATAGAGTACTGGAAGATGAACCCCTCGGGCTGGGGGGCACTGTGGACATTATGGCTGCAACATGGGCTCATAGTAATGCTTGTGAGGGTGCTGTAGGACTGGGCAGGTTTCCTTCTGCTGGACACACGGGGTTGCTAGGAACTGGGAAAGACTGGGCCACATCTAACTAGAAAATTATATAGCAGTATTTGTCGTGTTAGAAATTGAAATTAAGGCATTATAAAATATGTACTTAGTAATTCACTTAAAAGGACAACCACAAACTTATTATGTTAATATAAATAACACTACAAAATGAAAAGCAAATTTATTTTATTACATAAGACTTTATATACTATCATGGAGTCAAACATCAAATAGCCTGTGGAAATAGCCATCGAGAAATCAAAGGATCCATTGCATTGGACAAATCTGCTGCAAAAGACCTTTCTTTAAAGTGTTAACAAGCAACGAAATAGCCTTGGGGCCTAACATAGACCCGACCCCCGCCGAGATGTTTTCAGTGGCCTCATCAGGCAAGAATGAAGCTTGACAATGAATAAGGAAGACAGGTGTATTCGAATTACAGTGTTGCCAAGAATCTGGACTACACCTTGGACTGCTGGCAGAGTGAACAGCTCTGTGTCGAAGAAGCGCAGCCAGAAGGCTCCTTAGAAGTGGAGCTGGTGACACTTTGTCTCGAGCATTTTAGACATGTCCACAGGATGGAGAAGGACATCCTGATTGGTAAAGTAGAGGGGCAGCGGAGAGGAAGACCCTCACCACGATGGACTGACGCAGGGGCTGCAACCACGGACTCAACTAGAATAGCCATGGTGAGGGTGGCAGGGAGAGGCGGGGCTTCATTCTACTGTACAGAATTGGTTGGATGGTATTCAACAACAACAACAACAACAACAGATTTTCCTAAACAAAACAGAATACAACCGCAGCGAGAAGACTGGCACCGTTTACGTATTTGCAGATGTCCTTGCAGTGGGGGCTGCATGGGGGACAACTGGATTTCGATGTCTGTATGTGCATGCCATCTGTCGAGTTGCCACCGTGCCGCAGAGCCTCTGGAAAATGCACTCATGACAAGAGTGTGCGGACAAGTGAGGGAAGTCTTGGCCTTATTAGGAAGCCACTTTGGCTCTTAAGAGTGCCCTCGGTGTGCCCGGCCCACGGTTGAGAACGGCTGGTGAGTCAATGGGCAGCAGCACTGACTGGGCAGTCCCTGTCCTGTTCATTCCACCTCACCTGCCCCCAGGGAAGGAAGAAGCCTGTCAGCCTTCTGAAGGGGAGCATGAGAGTGAGCATTTCAAACGACAGCTATTCTATCTTGCACCCAGATCAAAGACCTACAGCTTTCTAGAAGCAAGTGGTGATGGCGCGGCCCTGCCTTCCGCCTTTCTCGCCCTTATTCGCGTCTCCCTCCCTGTTGCCATAAAGGCATCATCGTAAGAACTCACCGCCACTGACTCATCGTGACCCTCGCTGGTGTTTCCAAGGCTGTCAATCTTTATGTGACCAGAGCGCCTCAGCTTCCTCCCTCAGGCGGAGCGGCTGACTTTGCCTTAGCAGCTCAGTGCCTCACCCACAGCACCACCAGGGCTCCAGAAAGATAATGGAGACATTGCTTTGAATCTGTGAGGGGGGAATGCTTGCCTAGTTCCCCCAGCTTTTCATATTCTGCAGTTCTGCAGAACAGGCAGCTTTGGGTCCCTCCCTGGCCCGATGGAGTTCTATCTGAAAACGTGCAACCGGGGGCAGGAAAAGGACGGCTGGTAGCACAGGGGGTTAAGCGTTGGACTGCTAACAGCGTGGGTGGTGGTTCAAATCCACTAGAAGCTGTACAATCGTAAAAGCCCACAGGGCAGGTCTACTCTACCCCATGGGGTAGCTCTGAGTCGGGATCAACTGGACGGCAGGGGTGGTGGCGTCGGTGGGGAGAACATGGGGACAGCGGAGGCCCCACAGCTCTTGTTCAAGGTCATGCAGTGAAGCAATGGCTGGAACCAGATGTTCAGCCTCTACCCTCATCTTTCTTTTTTTTTTTGGGGGGGGGCTCACGTTTCCCTTTGAACAGATAATGCTATTTGTATGCCAACATGTTATGCTTTCTTAGGGAAATGCCCCCAAAGCCAGCTATTGATTTCTTGACCAAGGCCAGAAAGAAGACCCCAGACCCTGGTCTGCCCAAGCAGGACAGCAGGCATCCAGGGGTCTATCAGTTACGTTTGCCATCTTGAAACCGCATCACTGACGACAAAACGAGGCGACAACAGAACGCCGGGAGGGCTCCAGAATGCAACGCGCGCCCCCTTCCTCGACTGGCCGGCTCCAAGAGTTACCAAACAGGGAAGCGGCCACGTTCGCTCGCTGGCTCAGGGCGTCTGTTGGAGGAGTGGGCAGCGAGGCTTCTGGGAGAATGGCCCTCCTCAGACCCACGGACAGGCTCTTGGGGACTTGGTGTGCGTGAAGCAGGAGTCGGCTGCTCCCCGTCTGTGAAGGACTCCCTGGCCCTGCATAGCGCAGCCTCCGGAGGCTGGGCCCTGTGAGGAGGAAGGCCAGCGTAGAGAGGCCTGGGGAGGTCCCTGGAGCTTACCGGTAGCTTCCCTGGTCAAGGCCACCCCGGTCCCCATCCTCACTGAGGGCTTACCATTATCCCTAAAGAGTATCTTTCTGTAAATTCCTAGGTTTACACTAGACACCCAGGGGGTGACTATACATGTAATTTTTTTAAATTGTAACAAATCATCTTATTGGGGCCTCTTCCAGCTCTTATCACAATGCATACATCCGTGGTATCAGGCACGTTTGTACACATGTTGCCGTCATCCTTTTCAAAACATTTTCTTTCTACTTGAGCCCTTGGTATCAGCTCTTTTTCCCCCTCCCTCATGAACCCTTGATACATTATAAAATATTATTCTTTTTGACTGTACATATTATGCTGTGGAATTCACCCGAGAAATCTGCTAGGTGAATCAGCAGAGTTCAGCCCACGTAGAAGACAGTGAGTGGGTTTGGCTTGTGCTTTCTATTTTTGAATCTCAAAAAGGTAGAGGAAGCAGGCAGTCCCAGCCCCAGTGCAATGGCACACACCAGGGCAGGTGAAACGGGGAACTGACTCACAGATGGTAGGTGGCCCCCGCGCCAGCGGTCACTGGAGGAGACCAAAGTGAGGCCGGCGAGAGTGCCCGCGTGGGTAACAGCCAGGGGCTGGCTTCCACAGGGGAGGTTCTCGTGGGTAACAGCCAGGGGCTGGCTTCCACAGGGGAGGTTCTCGATGGCAAGCCCCTTTTCTCACCTGCCCTCTCTATTAAAGAAAGTGAGGGCTGTGCTAGCGGAAGGTTGCACCTGGGCCACACTGATGTGGACGGTCCAAAGGCATTTTCTGATGAACTTGGAAAACGGAAGACAGAGACAAACCGAACCCGAAGCAAATTCCACTCCACTGGCTGGGAACACAGAACTGGGAAGCCTGAGCGTATTGATGCCGAGTCTCTCAACTGGATGAGGAGACTGGGATCCAGAGCCATCGTAGGTTCAAACCCAAGACCATTGATGCACGTAGTAATTTAGTAAATAAACAATTTAGTAAAAAAAAAGTAATTTAGTGAGTAAGTGGCTCTATTGGTTCTGCTTTCAAAAATATGTCATTTGAAAGGAATATGCACGGTTCTAGATTACTAGCTCTTTAACAGTGATAGCATCAGGTTTACTGAACATGATGTACTGTTTCACTCTAGTCTCCAGAAATGCCTGTGAAAAACTGTTGCGATGGCTGTGAGACCCCACCGACTCTTTTCCAGACTGAGCGTAACAGAAGGAAGCCCTGCCCGGTCCTGTGCCGACTGTTGCTATGTTTGAGCCCACGGTTGCAGCCACTGTGCCAATCTGGCCCCCTGAGGGTCTTCCTCTGTCGCAGTGGCCCTCTATTTTACTGAGCATGATGTCCTTCTCTAGGAACTGGTCCTTCTAATACCATGTCCACGGTACGTGAGACGTAGTATTGCCACCCTTCCTGTAGGAAGTATTCTGGCTGTGCTTCTTCCAAGACAGTCGTTTGTTCTTCTGGCAGTCTAGAGAACCTTCAGTGTTATTTGCCCACTTCATGCAGCAACTCTTCTTCTGTCTTAGTCATGGTCCAGCTTTCACATGCGTCTGAGGCGACTGGGCCAAACCATGGCTCGAGCCAGGTGCACTGCAGTCCCCCAAGGAACAACTTAGCTCTCGAACGTTTTAGAGAAGTCTTTT